GGGGGGGGGGGGAAGCTTCATCTTTCAAATTTCTTTTCTTTCGCGAAGTTGATCTTCATTCTCTCTGGGATAACCGTTTGCATTATGTAACTAGCTGAAAAGTAGACAGTATCAATTTAATCGGTGATACTCTTTCTCTATCTATCTATCTATCTATCTATCTATCTATCTATCTATTTATCTATCTATCTATCTCTCCTTTTCTCTTAATTAGGGTAGTATTTTTATAGAATCGTTTATTGTGCAATATATTGCTCGCGTCGGTTCATTTCGCGGGAATTACTATACTACTAGAAACTCAATAGAATTGGAAACGATTTCTCGAGCTCTCTCTCTTGTTAAAGCTCGTCAGGTCTCTTCGAACTAGTGATCCTATCTGAAGCGCTAACGTACAGGATTTCGATTTCGCGCTCGCTTCTTGCTCCGAATCCCGTTTTCTTCTTTGCCTAGTCAACAATCAAGACTGTCAAGTATATCGCGATAGATAGTTTACATATGGACAAGAACAAAATTGAAGACGTTGAGGACTACTGAGCTAGAACGGCGCACTTTTAATCCTTAAGTACCACGGGTAAGATTTGTCACACTTGCGTGTCATATAATTCCGCAACAATCTTTCATGATCGAACATTCACTAAAAAAAACATCTTTTCTGAGCCCAATAGTGGTTTTGAATGAACCACAACGATTTTGGACACGTTTGCGGAGCGCAAAGGACGAAGAATGAAATGCACAGCAGACTCGCAGTCATGCGCTCAGTTTCTCACGACGACACCTACGGATTAAATGATAATTGATAACGTTAATTGATAACTGGTCGCGCTTTGATGAGGACCGAGAATCGACTCGATCGACAGATACGATCGGATACTCCTCCTCCGCTCAAATCTTGCGGATTAACGGTGCGTAATCGTTTCGTAATGGTGTCTCATGAGATACAGAGCCATAACACGCGGAAGTAAGTATGCAATAAGTATGAATGTCACACACGCGCACATACACACATACATATATACATATTTTAGTTCGAGCGAAGCAACGCGCGTGGTGAGGCTTTTGCTTCCCGGATGAATCTTCCGGAGCGAAGTAGCGACGATTGCGTTGTTAACAAGGTGAATTTTACATTCCACGCTAGAAGAGTGACAATCGAGAAGAGACTCTCTCTCTTTCTCGAGGACTCATCCCGGAGGTGTTGGCCTCTCGTCTTCCAGCGTGTTTTGAGCTCGACCGGCTCTGCGTACCAGCGTGCGCGCGCGACGACACATTAAAACACACACATTGACTTCCTGTTAATAATAAACTTCGTACACTACGCTGTTACGTATAAAGTTTGTAAATTGATACAAAATGGACGCGTGCGCGGACGCCCGCGCTCACGTGTCTACGTGCACGGGATCTTTATGTGGATATAGGACGCGTTTCTCTTGTAAATAAATATTTCGACATTGTGTGGGCTCGACACGACACGATACGACACGCTACTGGCGGCGATATATGTATAAGCGACGACGTGTTATAAAACGATCGGCCCCCTCGTCTTTTCGACAGTCTGTTGATTCTCTGTATATTTTCGAGATCAATTTTTCGATTAGTATCCGATATAACGTTGTAAAAATAATATATATAATATATCTACATTATATATATATACACTAAATAGTCGATAAAATTATTATAATCGCGTTTGAGAAGAATATATGGTATATCGTCGTACTACACACGATCGCGCGCGACGCTCTGACCGCCGACTTCTTTTGAGATTGTTTTTACGGAGCTCGAATCAAAAGCGCGGGTGTTTCGTCGCGAACGGTAGCGTATCTCCCGTAGATCTCCCTCGGTGATTTGTATTTTTTATACCAAATTTCTCAGGTGTTTGCGTTGTAAGCGCGCGTCGCGCGCGCAATAGGACGAAACGGCGAGATAGTATCATGCTAGTAATGTCATCACTATTTCGTAGACTATCGTCGGCGAGATCGCGAATGTCGCGCGCGATTCTGGCAAAACGCCTCTATAATTAAACGATCGTTTTTTCAAATGCCAAAAGTTTCTCTGAATTTAGATGGAACGGCAGGCTCACGTCGCACCGCGTGAGTGTGTCGCGTAAAGTCGCGTGCTAAAGAGTCGAATGTATGCCAAACGTTTCACGGTCGATCGAATTTCTAACGTCGACTACTCTAATGTACTGATTGCGATCGATCCTTAGAGAGAGAGAAAGAGAGAGAAAGAGAACAAAGTGACGATATAACCCCACGGCGTATAGATTGTGTCACAGTAATCGTGATCTCATTAGATATATGCTGTAGATTAATCGAAGATTGCACACTTTGGAATGTAGAACGTGTAACGCCGACTGGTCGTGTGTTTTCAGCGGGAGGGATGGGTAGAGCTTAGGAGCATACCTTATGTGATTTTCACGTGCAATTAATTAATTTCAGACTAGGACAAATTTCACTTCGCTGGAAGATACGACTACCTACAAGTACAACTTTTACACACTATCTCGCGTAGTATTTCAATTAGAGTGTAGCGCAATAATTTGAATTCGTGACACTTCTCGTAGCAAATGCATGAGAGACGCGCGTATTTTTTTCGAAGACCACAAGTATGTCATCGGTATATTGCATGATAGATTCCAGTAATTAATTTTTCGGAGTGCCATATATACTGTCAAAAGAAATTAACTAGTGATAACACTCGACAAGCATGTCTTAACGTTAATCAATTCGCGAAGAGGAAGATGAAGTAACACGGATAGACAATCTAGCAATGAGGATTATATCCAATTACGATTACTATATAAAACGCTCGTCTTTTCTTTTTACTTACGTTTATAACTGTTGCGAAAAAAAGAAAGCTTAATTTTATTGAATGTGATCGTGTGGGGTGAAGGATACGTCGAGAGATAAGGAATGATTATATTGACGGACTGAAGCAGGGGTTGCAGTGATATATATTTCATATATTTTTATAGTTTGAAGGAGACTAATTTCAAGTATAGAAGTGCTGGTGAATAAAACTCTAGATTCCAAAGTGTCGTGATTCTTTACATTAGCACCGTCCTCGTGAATTGAATCGTGAAATATTTTCCGTGCATCCACAGGAAACGTCAGTATTAATTTAAGGGTTACAGTACGCGTCGTATGTTCGAGTTTCATTCTAATTTACCTTCCACAACATTGTCCCTTTGTTCATATCGCCCTGTGTCGTGCGAGGTAATTATTGCGCACTCGCATGACACGCGTACGAAATGCGTGCCACGGAAAATATCGAAATATATCGAGGGTCTCCTGCACAACGCGACAATGTAAATATACACGATAAAATTTGTACATGTAACAGATTTGCAACTAATTGTTACTCATTATCGCTAAGTTATCGTTCGATTATCGAGTATAGTTTACGATGCGTGTTTCTTTTCATGTGTAAGAACATTGTTAATTTCTAAAGCAGTTTTAGTATGTATTCTGTAAAAAGGAGAAAGAAACCATATTATGTCTGAAAGCAAAGCGCGATGCGCTGTTTCAAGTATTTATTATTTGATCTCAGCGCACATTTACACTTACACACATACACCAACACGCACATATGCACATTCCTATATCGGATATATTAACCACAGCACGAAGGAACCTTTGGGATATTCGGGCACGCAAAACGTTTCACCGTCGTTTCCTCCGCTTCCTCGCACGGGTAATCGTTATCATGACGGGAACAGACTGCAATCGGTATGTTTGTCCTCACACTCGTCGCTGTTTGCTTCGAATTCCTCTTTGGACGGTAGCCATGCAGTCATTCGACGCATACCGTGCCGCGATTTATTATTGAGGGAGGTCTGCGCCGCTTTTATCACTGGGGATGATTTGCAAAGCAGCAGTCTGATACAGGCGGAATCAGAGCCGCTGATTCGCGCGATCAGATGATTTGGTAAATTCACGTCTCTCGCTTGATCCACTAAATTTTGGACCTATCGAGTGTAACGATTGAGCATGTGAACGTTTTAGGTCCAGTTCCACAACTTCTAGTTAACTTAACTGACCGGTTATTCCATTGGACTTGACCAATCGCATTTAGCGTTAAGAAGAGTTCATCAGAATTAACCAATCATTGTTGAGACTTAACCGGTAGTTAAAATTAAACGGAGGTTGTAGAACTGGGCCTTAGGCGTATATTAACAGTTGTCTCACATAAAATGTTTTATAAGAGGTACTCATGTTTTTACTTAGAGTCCTTAAGTTTTTCAATTGAATTATAATATATGTGATATTTACGCCTATATTAATAGCCGTCACTTGAAACTTTCCTCAAATGAGATACTTATATTTCAGTTCAGAGTTAAGAGTTGAATTCGAATTTTCAGTTGAATCGCGATTGCGGCTATAAAGTTACATAAGTCGTGTAATTCAATTGAAAGAAACTTGAGTTTAATTCTGAATAAAAATCCGAGTATCTCGTGAGACAAACTTCTACTCAAAGCAACGACTATTAATACAGATCCTACATCTACAATCGCTATTCAAATGAGAACTTCTCATCTGACTCTGAATTCAAACATGAGTGTCACTAGAGACGAGTCTCAAGTAGTAATTGTTAATACGGACCTTAGATTCGTTTTTTAAATCAATCGGAAAAATTCCAGACCATTAGTCCAGATTAACTAAGCATAGGAATAATTTTCGCGTTCGTTACTCTGTTATATTTGGATCGAAATTATCCAGTGTCACATTCGTGACGACTCACCTTATCGTTCTTGTTTTCCAAGATGAATTTCACAGGATCCCAGGTTAGTACTGCGTCGTTTGTGTTTCTGGCGATGTTACCCTGCGGCGATTTCACTCCAAGCAACGTGCTTATCTGTCGGGAGAAACAACTGAGCGAAATGCCGGGCTTTTTGGACAATGAAAGAAGAACCGATGTCGTGTAATTCAAGCAATTTATATTCACGTTTATTGGCATTATTCGTACCATCTGTGCGAGAAATATGAAGCTGTTGACTGCGATCGCTGCGACTTTGGGCGAATCGAGTCCGATCAGCCGGAAGAACGCGGAAACGAGATTCGACGGGCCGAACGGCTGTTTCACCTCGTCGTCTCCGTCCTCTCCTCGCTTCTGCTTCTGTTTCTGCTTATTATGACCTAGGCTCTTTGACACCAGATCGGCAATGTCCTTAGCCGTCTCCAAGTAATTACTCGCGTACTGCAATCCGGTCTTTATCTTATCTAGAACATCTGAGACCACAGATGCACGGTAAGGGCCATGGCACCCAAAAAAACGTAAGCAGTAAGCAAATTGACCAATCACAGTCGCTGATTTTTCTTACGTTCCAAGAACCAACGACTGTGATTGGTCAATTTACTTACTGCTTACTTCTTACTGCTTAAGATTTTTTGTGTGCTCTAACTCTTTGCTCTTGTAACAATATCTTCCTACAGAAATATTTATTCGGTGAGTATTAACAACATATAATCTACTTGTACCGATGTAAAACATTTTTAGATAAGAAAATATATACAGAAAGAAAGAGATAACATTCTTCTTTGGCAGATTTTTATTTTCGATATGTAAATCTTAAAATGAAATTTACATAGTTAATTACATAGTTAAACGAATTTATTACATAGTTAAACGAAGATAAGCTAATTGTATCAACAGATTTTATATGTGATTTAGCAAGGAAAAATATATCCTTATTATTCAAAGATAATTTTTATGAATGAAAAATGAAACAGAATATTGGATTGGGACTTATGATGTTTTTAACGTCTAAAATTTGGACATGAGACGTCTAAAAGACATCTTAAAGACGTCTCTCAGACGTCGGAATATAAGACGTTTTCAAGACGTCTTATATCTCGATTTTGAACGCTACATTGTGTGGGTCTAATCGGTCGATTCTTAATGTAATATTTTGCGCGTACGTGCAAAACGTTATTTTCTTTTTAATATGTCAAAAACTCTCACCTTCTGTCTTCGTGAGGTACGCAACATCGAGCACAGTCGTCGAGAGGACGCAGAGAAAGAGACACGCTGCTCCCGACTTCATTGCGTCGCATCCAACTATCGGACGGTACTGAGACTACAGCGAGGATCGTCGTAAAGCGAGTCATAACGGGTGTTGTGGCATTAATTATGCATTTATTTCCATCTCGCTGCGTCCCGAGCGAAGTCCCCGTTGAGCCAACCGTCCACGCGATTGTCGCCCTTCTTGCTTCGCCAGCCAAGCGCGAGGAAACGGTATTTGCGTCCCGCGGCACGATCTGATCGCGTTTCCTTGTTGGAAGCCAGTAAAAACGTCGATCCAGATGACGACGAAGGTGTTGGAAGTGACGCCACGAGTTCAGCGTCGGCTGTCGCGGTGAACGCGGAAAATCCGGTCGAAAAGTGATCACAAACGGAAGTTACCCGTGGTGCTTGCAAATCGAACTTTGTGAAAAAGGTGAGTGTACTTCGTGGTGTTCCAAGCGGCTTGGATTTAAATGTGGTAGACGACATGGAGCGCGAGCGCGATTAATTCTGCTTTCAAACTATTTACACGCGATCTACATAATTCCTCTAATTAAAAAAAAATTCGAATTCGTTAACTTTATTCTTAATTAGCACAAATTTTAGAACCCTCGACTATGCATCGCATTTTGCTGACGTTCTGTGCATTTTGCACTCTGCAGACGACGTGCGGAGAACAGTCGTCTTTGTATCTGGACGAGATTCGCAGCTTAAGCGAATTACCAATGGACAAGCTGATTCAGATTAAGTCTTCTCTCGCGTGCGGAAACGGTAATCACTGTGTCGCACAATCCCTTTGAATAAAGCTCGCACTTGAAGATTTCGTATTCACTTCAGAGCGATATCGAGGGCATTCCTAAGTATATGAATATTTCCGGTTTAGGATCCAGTTTAAAATCGTTTTGCAAACGATATCATCATCGCGCGACTATCTCTTATAGCAACTTAAAAGTTTTCAAATTTAACATTTATCCCATTTAATATATAATATTCATAACCTGTAGATATCATAGACGAAGAGATAAGCGAGGACGTCGACATGTCCAGTAGAACATTTTCGTTGGCATTACCGATGGCTCTGCCACTGAAGGCAATCACGAAGAAGCCTACGCGTCGATACGAAGATCACTACGACGACAAAGGCAAAGACACGAAGATCTCGAAGATCTTCCAGCTGGCGATAACGGCACTGTCGTTTCTCGCATTCGGCGGTTATCTTCTAACGCTTATAATAATGGCGATTCGTCGCAACACGAACGGCGGTGGCGGAAATGTCGTCGTATTTTCGGTAACTATCCGCAAGATTTATCGCGGTTTAACGTATGTACGTAGAAAATAATTCGATCCGCTTTGAATATATCAACTTGATAGTGCACGCAACGACCAATTATTTTCTTCTTGTGTAGAACCTGCAAAGTCTGCAAAAGCTGCACCGGCCCAAACGGAACATCTTGATGTTCGATCCGATGGAGAACAACTTCGAAACTGACAGACTCTACGAGGGGATGATCATGCTCTCGAGAAGTTACGCCTTGTATAAGTGAACGCAAATCGTTGCGACGTAGAGATGCTGCGTCTCATACAGATACATTATTTACTCGCGATTGTATCGGCAAATGCTACTTACGCTTCGTAACTATTATCAGTTGAAGAGAAGTACGACTTATGCTACAATGTTTAGACGAAATTTTCACAATTTTATGCAAGTTTAGGTGTGATGCTGGGACTCAATGTTACTCAAAAGAGATTGGAGTAGTGGAAGATACTACTTTACGTTATATTTAAACACAATAATATATGTAGCTTTCGTACGGAATAAAGTCTTAAATGACAATGACGTACCATCTTTGATCTTAATGTCTCCCTTTATTTTCCTGAATCGTCATAGGGAAACTCGCATTGATTTGAATCGATACGTTCTCGAAGGTTTTTCTCTCCCTATTTTCGCGGTTCAATCGAAAGTCACGAAGCCATATTTGATATCGACCCGATTTAATATCGCGCAAATCCCGGCGGAGTCTTGAAAATCCTAAAACCTAATAAAATCGAATAGAGGACCGCGATGTGTATGTATCCCGCCAAGAATATTCTTGGCGTGTGGGTAGAGAGGCAGCTTCAAACATGGCTCTTCAAATAAACACCTAAGTGACTGTATACTCCGTAGGCCTACACGCAAAGATAACCATATGGTTTCCAGAGATATCATCGACCATACGTCTGTCTCTCCACCATTATTCCGCCGATACACGACTTCTTCTCGCAACATTTGCGGAACTCCGCAATACAATCCCGTTTCCGATGACACGTCCTTTACGTCCGAAAGTAACGACCGTGAAAAGATATAACAATCTGTCGAATCATTGTCGTAATCGCTTAATCGGACGAATTGAACAAAACTCATCAAATAAAAAACTTAACATGTTAAATTCATTTACATTGTTATAATAGAGGAAATTGAAGTACCTGAATCACCTCTAATAAGAGTCTTATTGAAGTTGTTTGTTGTATATCAGAATAATACAATTAATCAGTGGAAGAGGATAATGTGTAAAAAGTGTCCAGGTATTTTAATTTCCTAATTTAACATGTTGAGTTTCTCATTCGTCGTGTTCGTTCAATTCGTACTTTGACAATGTACGCGAATGACGTCCGATTAAGCGGCTACGATGACTCGACAGATTGTTATATCCCGTACTTCACGGTCGTTATTTTGGGACGTGAAAGACGTGTCAACGAAAACGAGATTATATTCCGCGAAGTTCCGCAAATGTTGCGAGAAGAAATTATTTTATTTTTCGTACACATAAGAAATAAATTATAGAGGTAAAATTATTTCTGTAATTAATATTATTTATTATATACATTTTATACATTTTAATCATCCTCTTCCTATAATACTCCACGAGAATTTCACTCTCGTTCACTCTCATTTCGTCCTATACTTCACTACTTCAAGCAGCATTAATCAGCAGCTAGTCGCTGAACGATGTGCCAGAAAATGCGTGTGCATATTTTACGTCCATTTACATCGCGTATAGCCAAACGTGCATGCACGTGAGGACCGCGAACGTGAAAAGGACAAACTCCCATTGCATGCGTACGCGTGTACGTGGATTGAAATCTGGATGAGAATATTACCTCGGTCACTTGTAACCGCAACATCCGGACAGATCATCGTAGTAGCCAGACCCATCTCTCGTTACCACGCCTACCAGCTTCTTCGTGGACCAATCCAGATATTCCGGCTAAATTACAGCTGACGGCGAACTGATCTTTTTTCAGCCGGAGATCTCCTCTCAACATGGCAGAGTTTCGTTCGCTCATTCACTTTTACGCCGTCCCGCGGTTCTTTTTCTCTTGGGAGAGAGCATTTTTTTGTTACTGTGACGAATTGATGTCGGCGATAGAATAATTCCGAATTCACGTTTAAGTTCGTTCTTCTCTTAAGCTAAACATCACATTTGTTGTTGACAATAAGTTACTTTTATTGTCAATTCCGTTCGTTGGGGCGAGTGCTTAATGGCAGTGTCACCAGGAGCAGGTAAAATGGAGCACGGATTCACGAAGTGAGCAGTGAAGAAGTCAAATTTGTTGTAACGAACCTTATTATTGGAATCCATTCTTCGTTATTTTTTTTAACAATGACTCTCATTGCGAAGTTACACGCTACATGAGTGAGTGCACGGTATATAGAACGCGTGTTCCCGAGTAGTGTCATGAGCGCGATTGACGGCACCGGGTGCGCTCTCGATAAACTGAAATCCACGGGGAAGAAGATGAACGGCATTAACACCCACGTCGTGGACAGCGCCAATTGTTCCAAGCAGCTGAAATTTGGTGTGGACCGCATACTGTCGAACGAGATCTGTGCTAAGAAAACGGGTAAAGCGTGACAATAATTGTACATGTTACAGAACTACGTAGAATTACTCATATAATTTACTCATATAATTATATTCGGCTGTCAAAATCGACTGACGATCGATTTATCGAGTGAATGTTTTTGGATAAATAAAAAATTAGTTTAGTAATGTATGTTTGTATATGTGTTTAATTAAATTAATATACATACCAGATTATAACTTTCAATGCGTGTCTCTATGTCGTGTGACTCTGTGTATTGCACGCATCATATGTAGTTCAATAATATTATTCGTGTGTTCCTTTATGTTTCTGTTCTATATTTGATATTTTACGTTCTTAAGATTGACTCTTCATTTTTCTTTATTGACAGATGTGTTTAAGCCACTGCCGATCCAAATGCCGTCAATACGTTGCCCCTGCGTCGGAAGTTGCGGAAGATGCGAAGCTCTCAGAGCTTGCACATCTTTTCCGCACGCTCATTCGTCATTACCCGAAGGTGTCACACCAGCACCGTATATCGGAATAATGGAAAGTTTAGGAACTTTATATCGGCCGGCACCGTTGCGTCCCGTACCGAGAAGTAAGTCGCAAGCTGCATTGAATACCAAACCTGAATCATCCGTCTGACCTCTTTTCTATCCTTCCCTTGTACTCTGAGCTAACAGTTAAAAAAAAACATTAGAAATCTCGTTTCAAGTCGCTGAGATGCCAGTTATTTTTCAAAGTTGACGCGAGTTACGTAAAATAACTCGTAACTTATTAACTTTTTTACATGGGAAATTTTAATCGGTGATGAATGATGAGAAAAATCGAGAAACACGAAAGAGAGCTTTAAAACAACGAGGAGGGGAAGGGGCAAACTACAATAGAGGTATATTATTTACGGTATATTTTGCAATTAATGAATTGATGAGTTGATCAATTAATACTGATTTATGATATATTTTGCAATTAATAAATTGATGAATTGATCAATTAATATTGATCGCGCGATTAACCATCGAGAAGATGCGTAAGATCACTTTAAGTAAAAAGATACGATCGTGAGTCGCGCGTTACGTCATTGACAAATGTTACCATATGGACACACTGTCTTGTCCCTCCGATATCCAGGGGCAAGTAGGGCAAAATATTTACGTGTCAGTGTATTCTCGTGTTTCCTGTCTATGTTTAAACGACATCTTAAGTGCCATCGAGCGTTTATGCACAGTGTAAACGGCGGTTTCAGTGCGCGCTTTCTCGGTTAGCTAAAATCCGACGGCTTCCGCTTTTTCTAGCCGCCACAATATTAGTAACATATATAACAAGACGAGCCTCTCAGGCATTATTAAAATTAATCATACTGTAAATACAATATAGTCAAATCGATCTCTAACCTATTAAATACGTGATGTGCATTAAGCTGATTCTACATTAATTGCAAGTCTCAAGGTCTCAAGAAAATTGACCAATTACAGTCAATTCTTCTTTGGTTATAAGAAGGACGATCGACTGTGATTGGTAAATTTTCTTACGATCTTGTGATTTGCAACTAATATAGAACGACCTTTAAGAGTACTTGAGACTCAACAATATGCCGAAAGTCTTAACGATTTTCGCTTTACTTTGTTAATACATACTTTCATCTATATTTTGCGTAATGTTAACATAGTTGTTTAAAGCATTAATTATTCGTGCGCAGCACGGTACGACCGATCAAATGTAGCAGAGTCTACGGGTTAGAGATTCACGCCGGCGGATCAGCATAAAAGCCCCAAAATAACTGTGATGTTAGAGATATCTGTTCGAATATTTATTCGGAGATTCGGCTCGAGTGGGTGTACCGCACTGTTTAAATACACGCAGATGTTGTATACTTTCGTACGGCTGTAAATCAGCCCGAAGTACCCCATCTTGGGAGCTTCTTCAGACCGAAAACTGTGGAAACAGACACCCCGTCCGACTAAGAGCGTTTACTTCTCTCACCACGCGCTTCCACCTAATCCGTAATTTCTCCCCTTGTGTGTTCTGTCCGGCGTAAAATCCTTTGAGTATTGCACGGTGAATATTCTCCAAGCGCGATCTCGCACGAATTTTCATTATTTTCGAAGATATTTATTTTTACTTATTTTTTAAGAGAATCTTAATTACTGTTTCAGGTGAGAAAAATGTATAGCTAGCGATGGGCAATACTTCGAATAAAATATTTTTTATCATTTTCATACAATAAAGGTGTATTTTCTATACAAAAATTCCGGTTTCATATTTATATACCTGGTATTTTATAACTTACTAAAAATAAAGGGACAATTTTTAATAGAATTTGTGCATATCCTCCCAGCGAAAAATGATCGCCACCACTATAGATACGTGATAAAGAAAGTTTGAAGGTCTAAATAGCTGCATATGGAAAACTTAAGTGTGCAACATTATAATATTGGCGAAATGGATATACTCAGTAAATATTCTCAGTTAATATACCAGGTCTGTAAATATGAAACTGAGATATTTCTCAATATGTATCATCAATGTCGATAAAGTCTATCTGATCGGATTATGTGACATAATTTATCTCTAAACCCATTGATCTAGTTACTTTACGAAATTTAATGTTTGGATCAATATCTATTTGTGATTTTAATATTATTAAGTATATTCGGATATTCTTGTTTTCCAGCATCAATTTCGTCCTCCTCTACGATGAGCTCTTCGGAAACCAGCACGCGCAGGAAGAGATCGTGGTCCAGAGCCGTGTTTAGTTCATTGCAGCGGAAAGGCTTAGAGAGGCGATTCTCTTTGCAAAAATACATCACGAAGCCCGACCGACGACAATTGGCGGCGACTTTAGGCCTAACTGACGCACAGGTTGTACGACTTGGGAAATTTTGTGAGCAGCTTAAAATATCTTGTAAAGCGAAAAGCTCCTCGTGATCTGTTACAACGTGAATTTTTCAAGGAAACAATGTCCACGGAGGAAATAGAGTTCAATTTGTTTCGTCAGGTCAAGGTTTGGTTTCAAAATCGTCGGATGAAATGGCGACACACGAGAGAAAGCGAGAACCCTGCCTTGGCTGGTCCGGACTCCACGCAGAAGGACTTTCCCCAGAAAGTGGTGAAACCTACAGGCACGACGCAGCAAGAGGACGAGGAGGACGTGGAGATTGACGTGGATCTATGAGACTTTGGCGCGTGTGCCGACAATTCCGTTCCCGAGGTGCATTCAATAATCGTTCGTCTTTTAGAGAATCAGTAACGAATTAATCTTTGATATTTTTGCTACTTTAACGAATGTTAATAATATAATAAAGAAATTGTTACGAAGAAAGAGCAAGGTGTGTTATATCGTTCAAGGGTATAGGAAAAATATAAATCTTCCTCTGACGTTCGACATTCGTTAAATCGAAAATTTCGCGACAACTTGTACATTGACAGCAGAATGAACTTATCGTCGATGCGTTGATCTTCAATTTTTCCAATCCTTAGCAACGATATTGTTATTTCTTTTCGCATCGTCAACACAGGCGTTAATAGGTTAGCCGCTGTCTCCGATATTTCACGAACGCTACGTTTTTTCTGAACTGTACATTGCATTAACAGGTATGTGTGAATTCTCAAGTTCCCATATATTACACATGTCTGCATTCATGGATTTGCGTCTGTATTTGTAAACGATCTTAGACATAATAAAGGCTAACGCATTTTTTTAGTAATATAAAATTGCATGAACAAGGCAAGCTCACTGCGAAATGATGCGTTGCTTGATGAGATCCACCTTCGTGGCTCGGTATTTCTCGTTGCAAGCGTACAGAAGCTGTTTCTATCGCTCAACGACGAATCTGGCGGACACGTTGACAGCTGACGAGGCAAGGAAATGCTCGCCGCTCAACACGAACAACATAATATGTAAGAGAAATGATAATTTTCCTCCAATTTAATTGCATAATTGAACTAAATGTAAAGGCAAAATAAGCTAAGCCAGATGCTTGAACAGGCATTGAATATTTCACACATTGAATACGTTAAGCGTAAAAATTGTTTATCTCGAGCAATAATTGTTGTAATAAGCGAATGAAAGTATAAATCCGCTCAAAATAGTGGCGCGATCTAATTTCTCTCGCTATCAGCCACATCCATGTCGCAACCACATGCGGTTCCGGCAGTGAACGCGACTGCGACCTCTTCGACGGCGGCGCCATTGTTGGAAGCAAGCCCTGAGATCGCCGCTGAGGACTTCGACATTCCTGCGACCAAAGTGATATCGCGTGCAGATAAATCGCCATTACCGTTCGAGGAGATTCCTGGACCGGCGATATTGAAACTCTGGGAGAAATACTGGCGATACGTGCCGCTGCTGGGTACGCAACTGTTTTGCAGTCTGCTAATCAACAAATTCACCCAGGGTACGATTCCTCGTAGTTCAGCCGCGCAAAATCCGAACAGCCGTCTTCGTAATCGAAGATACGCGAAAGATTTTGTGCCGTCAGGCGAAGAGATGGAAACGAACTGCGTTTTGTGAACTTTCCAAGCTCTTCGGGTTTTGTGCGAATTGTCTCCTGGACCTTGGAAATAACATGCAGTGCAAAATACAAGCGCGGAACTTGTTTATATTTACACATACATATACTAGGAAAAGAGCATGAATTGACAAATTTATAATAAATTACATGTTCCTGTGTTTTTCACTATTGTTGAACAGTGAAGTAGAAACGTAATAATAATCTTGAAAATTAAAAGGCATATTCTGACAATTTGACGCGTTTGTTACAGGACGATTATCCTGGAATCGTAATATCACGCCGATCAAGTACCTGTTTGACGAGTATGGATGCGTCGTGCGAATCAACGGGCCATTTGTTAGTGATATCGTCATGATTCACAGGTGAATGTTACGTTCCTTGTGCACTTTTTTCCCCACAATGCTAATCTGCTGGTCTTATTTCAGGCCTGAGCATATAGCGGAAGTTCTCGAGCAGGAGAGTGAGTCGCCTGTCCGCAGCGGCATCGACATTCTTCAACATTACCATCTTCATCATCGCAAATATCGCTCTGCCGGAGCGTTCTCGCTGTAAGCACGACATGATTAATTTCACATATGAACGCGACTATCAAAACATTGTTTATTTGTTTATAAATTAAATATAAATTCACAAGAAAATCATATTCTTGTCACACTTCATTCTACAGAGAAACTTTTAAGAAAAAATTCTATTCATTGTATTGTTTACATTTACATGTTTCCTATTACCTTGTTATATCCACGTGATGTAAGACACATTTGACAATGTAAGGTATAATAATTATGAAAATCTCATGAAATGTCAGGCAAAGTTCCGAATGGTTGGAAGTAAAAAGGAAAATTGATCAGCCGTTCAACGACGCTGTCTGGAATTATTTTGAGAAACTGGATGAGGTGTCCGGAGAATTCACTAACAGGATTCGTGAAATATGCAATCGACAAGACGAGGTTTGTTGGACGCTAATGAATAATAAGCAATAGCTGGGGTGACGGAATCACTCACCTGTCTGAGCCTGCTGAACTGGAGAAGTATTTCAGTTGAGTCAAATCGGCAGGTGCCGGCGACTTTTCACCGGGATCTCACCGCCTGGGGTATAGAATGTTTCTACGTAACAATGTTCAACAAACACCTTGGCTTCCTCGATCCCACCTCGAGGTCGGTGGACGAGACCACGAAGGTCATTAATGCACTGATCACCGCTCACACGTACATGAGCCGCTGCGAGACCGGGTTTCAGGTATGGAGATTCTTCGAGACTCCGTTTACCAAGAGGCTCTTCTCAACGTGTGACATCCTTAACGAGTGAGTCGAGCGATCTTGTAGAATTTTAGGAAGATTTACCGATCGTATCTCTCTATTTAATTATATTAGTCGTACAAAGACAATTGTAATCATATTTTAACACATTTTGTATCGTAATTTTACATTTGTAGATCTCGCTCTGATCAATTTCTTTAACTCGTTTGACATTATCTGTATGTTACTTGTTGATTTTGCTCATTGTGGAAACACTAATTACTCAACGACGGGTCTTTTCTTAGAATCATCGGAAAGTACATTCGCCGAGCGCAGAACAAATTGCAGGCTCTATCGCTGCCAGAGCAGAAAAGATCCGCGAAAGAAGAGGAAGGTGCTCCGCTCCTCGAGAAGATGCTGATACAGCGTATCCACGTGGACGACATCTCCACCCTCTTGATGGACATGATGATCTTGGGCGTTCAGGCTGTAAGGCCTGAAAGTCAACGCGACTTTATTGTAAAAACATAACCGTCTCGGTGTGAATTTTTAGGTCGTCAATTGCGAGGCGTTCCTGATTTACTTCCTAGCGAAGAATCCCAGGGCGCAGAAGCAGCTATACGACGAGATAATCTCCGTTTCACCTAGGGCAAGCATCTTGACGAGGGAAAGTCTGAAGAATATGCCATATTTAAAAGCATGCGTGAAAGAAAGTCTCAGGTAAAAGCATTCTTCTTATAATCAAATGTATTTCACAAATTGAACGAAACCATTTTTCCCGAAGACTTACCGCTCATGCATCGGTATTACTACGTGCGAAATAATATATTTTTTTACAAAAGACTGCGACCTGCATTTCCCTACTTGACGAGATTATTGTCGTCGCCGATCACGTTACATGGATACACAATACCGAAGGGGGTGAGTCGTAGATTGCACTTCGATTGCGGGCGTGACGCAAAACAACGACCCGCAAGTACGACAAATAATTTTCATTTTGTGCAGACTTTCGTTATAATGGCGAATCAGATAACGTCGCAGCGCGAGCAGCTCTTCGAAGATCCCGAGAAGTACCGGCCGGAGAGATGGTTGAATCAGGACGAGCACGCGCACAACTTCTATCAGGAGTACTCGTGTCTACCATTTGGATACGGCGCGCGATCCTGCCTGGGTAGAAACATGGCTGAGACGCAAATGACGTTGCTTATCGCGAAGGTCAGTAAATTTCACCTAATGTGAACGTAATAAAGTAATTTCGGATTTTTTAAGGATCACACACAAAATTCCGTAAGAATCGTAAGCGTAAGGAAATCGACCAATCCCAATCGAGTATTCGGCTCTTCGTAATAATGGAGGGGTTACGAAGAGCCGAGTGCTCGATTGGGATTGGTCGATTTCTTTACGCTTACGTTTTAAGTTCTTGCGGAATTTTGTGTGTGATGGCCTTTAGACTAGATGAAGCGATTATATCTTTATGTCGTAATAATTTCAAAATAACGTATGCGTTTTGGTGTTCTGCCATCCTTTGCGCACATTGTTTTATGAAATTATAACGACACAAAAATATAATCGTTTCATTTTAGCGGAAAAATTATTTATTACACTATCGAATGCATTCATCTTCCTTTCCAGTTGGTGCGAGAATTCGCGATAGAGTACGATTACGCCGATATCCAAAGTCGATTTCTCATGGTGAACGTGCCGAATCGGCCATTACGCTTCCGATTCGTAGACAGGAAATAAGTTGAGCAAGAGTCATACTGGAACTCTCAAGACAATTGGAAATATTCAGAAAGAGAGCGAAATAATGAATCGACTTTCATACAGTACTTTCATGCAGATTACATTACACAGGATTATGCTGCTGTAAACAAGTTTGTGGTAAACGAGGTGAATACGAATACATCAATCGCGTACACCGCGTTTTACCTTACACCTTACGTATCGTTTTATCGGCAAAATAATTTTAGAGTTACTTCGAAGCGTGTATTTTACGTTTGTATTCGATACGAATCAATTTTTTGCTAACACGTAAGAATCGCAAGGCAACTTTGTATCGATTGTCGTTGCGAGCTGTACGTCAAAATAAATGTCTTTTTTGTAGTTTACACTGATGTCATGTAATCTTGTTGATTTCAAGTACAAAATACACAAAAGTATCCTTGGGACACATTTATTAACAAGTTACAGTTCTTTCGTGACCACACACTACACACACACACAGCTCTATATACAATTATTTCGTGAAAATGCAACTAGTGAATTCTTACCTTAAGCGTAACTCGTTACTTTTCTCATTCGTTATCCATTATGATACGTATGAGTGTCATGTACGAGAAAACAGTCGAAATGTACTGAAAGACAATGAACATCATGTTATTCGCGATTCGCCAAATCATCACCTGAATTAATCCACTGACATTGCTGGAATCGTACCGACGTGTAATAGTTCATCGACAAGGTCGGCAACGCGCACGGGATCGAGATAGTGACTGGACGTTGGCTCCTCAATATGACGTAAATCAGGATCTTCTGCGCGATCAGGTCATCGTTGTACCACGGCGAACTGTAAGCGGCCAACGCGACGTCGCCGCTCTAACGAGAACATTCAAGGAGCGAACGTCGATTAGAACATCGTCACCTCTACCTTACAACGTGCAGCAACACGTCGTAGATCTTGCAACAATCTCGTATTATTCGAGCGACTAACCGTGTTGATGACGTTATCCGCTGGCCAAGCGTACATGTAGAGCTCCATGAAACCGCACATGGCCATCATGAGAAACTGAGCCTTTACCGACCACGAGTAACGCTACTCACGCGCAAATATCGAGAAAACAACGTATGTAAATATTAATGCATCAATAAAAGAAAACAAATGTTTCGGTAAGTTTTACGGTGTAGAATAAATCGCTCGCTAGTGAGTGAACCAAACGCGAGACTCGTGCAACGTCACACGCAATGAAGTTCCAGCGTCACACGATACTTACGCTCATGAAAGTGAGACAACCGAATATCACAACGCCAGTACTGAAGGTTACGCATAACAGTGCTATGTAACGAATCGCGAGCGCCACTTCTTCCGCGTACCTGCAAACAAATGATTTATTTTTAGGGCCCGTGTCTCGTTACTTGAAATTTGTCTCACGTGAAATATTTAGATATAAATGTAGAGTTAGGTTTAAGTTCTCTACTTGAGTCACACACGATATATGCGGCATTACGTTTACAATCACGATTTAGCTGAAAGATTCACATCTATCTCTAAATTCAACTTTTACTTAAGGCAAGTTTCAAGTAACCGCTATTAATACAGCTCCAGAAAGTGCTATATCGCACTAGACGCGATATCGTAGAATTATAGAGCGCGATTTCAGCCCCAGACTAACATAATGTCTAAAATCGGGACGTCTTAAAGATCATCTTTAAGATGTCTTTCAGATGATTTACGTATAAATATCTTTAAGGCGTCTTAAAGATTATCTTTAAGACGTCTTATGTCCCAATTTTAGGCATTATGTTATCTAAGACAATTCATATTTCATCTTGCATCGCTGACAGTAGTGTGCTCGCTCAGAAATTATTCTCTCATTCTTTAAAATAATTCTCTTCGTCTCTCGACTCCCTTCCCTACAACTTCCACGTTTCGACAAATACAGATTTTTTTAAAGGATGTCCTCTGCTCTGTGATATCTTGCGATTAGCTTTTCTTCCGTGTAGTTAATCCAATATTTTCTTTTAAATTCATGCACCTTAACGCAAAATAATGTAACATTCACAGCCTCCGTCATGTACCTGAGCAACTCGTAGTGCTCGCGCGTGCACTTGATCAGCTCCTTCACGTCCGTCACCATGCGGAGTTGCATGGACAGGATGTCGAATCTCGCGGCTACGAACCAAAGCAGCAGGGCTGGGAAGGTGTTGGCGCTAACCTGCATCGCGCTTTGAAAAGCAATTACTATGTGATGCGCGTACATGATGGTCCTGAACGGCTGTTGCAACACGTTAAACGGATATCTCACATCGGCCGGGAACGGTTGCGGCATAAATACCGGTGTGAAAATCACGGCGGCGGCTGTCATCATCAGCAAAGTAAGCATCATACCTACGGTAATCGTTATTGTCTAAAAAGTAACGCAAATAGCGCTCACGATTCACTCGAGACGTGGTCGTAGGAGAAGAATTTTTGGGGACACGACACATTTTAATAATTAAAAATATAACAAAAATAATTCAAATTTTGCGCGTACATACCATAAAACAGCCAGCATTTGTCGATATATCGTTGAAAAATTTCTTTTTCGTACTTTCCGGCCCGCCGATTGTAATCCTCCATCTCCAAAACTATGAGCTACATTTTTCAATATTATACGTATTTATTCTTTCACACTTCTTCATATTTTTCATATTATCATCATTTTATATGTACACTAACAGTCTTTTGGACATTCCTTAATTTCTAATTCGTCTAATCATGCATTATCGGAACAATGTCACGCGACCAATCGACACGGACGCGAAGTCTTACTTGCAGACGTTCGTCTTGAGCAGCAAAGAGTATCATCTGCAGCGGGATTTGCAAGATAGCGCCCAACTGGCAGCCCAACTTCATCACCAGAAGCGAGTCGTCGCTGTATTCATAAATCGTCCATGTCGCCATGACGGAAAAGAACGTAGAGTTTGCGACACAAAAACACCGGATGACCTTGCGAAGTAGTCTCTGCCACGTGGTCGCGTTTTTCGGAAGTGGCCAGCAGCAGACGGACGTCAGGTAAATCTTCAGGAAAACGAACACTCCATCCAGCGTTAGTTTCTGCTTCGCAGTCATAACACGGAGTCTCTCCAGACCAGAAATCCAGGAACTGACACGGCACGAGTTCCGAACACCCCTTCGCGATATCCCCTGAGATAATTCTCCAATCCTCTATTCGCTATCCGTAAACGCCGAGCGCGTCTGCGTGAAACTCGCGAGGCACCGAATAATGAATGTGCGGTATACACAATGTGAATCGTAACAGCCGTGTGATTTTGCGGGTGACTGCAACATGCGCGATGCATAAGCGAGGCTCTCAAGACGACGCCGACATTAGACACGATTGCATTGAATTCTAATTCAACCGGTCGATTAAATGACCGCGGCTATATCAGTTTATTTTAATTATTATTGAATTAATTGTCGATTAGCGCTACAGTTAATTGAGAGAAACTGTAGAAAAATTCGATTTTAATATTTCAAGCTCCCATGATCCGTCTATAGCTGTGCAATATTTTAACACGAGACACACACAAGTGTGTAGAATCGGACGGGACTAGAAAGCAACACATGAGGTCTGTTCTTTTCAGCTGAACTATCTGAACTGGTGCAATAAGTTGGAGTAAGACAAATGTATTTTGTTTCACTCTAACTTACTGCACCAGTCCGCACCAGTTCAGCAGGCAGTTCAGCTAAAAAAAAACAGACCTATCGTGGCTGGAATCGCAGAGACCTCTCTGCATTCAGAAATACCAAGTGGCTTATTTCCAGACGCTTTACCTACCGCGTTGTTCATTATTCCATCGAAATCATCGACAGAACACCGAGGGGAGGCTCACGGTGTTGCGATTTCGAATGCTATCGCTATTGTGGATTTATTACTGGCCGGGGAAATTGTTTTCAGTGAAGGGACTCGCGCACTCCTCTGCTAGACACCTCGCCGTCGACTGCACTCCCCGTTCGTATGAAAGAGCTGTTCAATTAATTATACGCAAGGAATATAACGTTGCCGACGCACCACCTTCACTCACTGCGGTAAAGCGAACGTAATTGCGTAACAACACGCGTTCGTTTGTAGTTAAGCTCACCACTGTGAGATATAATTCGCGGTGAGACACGGGGGCTTCCGCGCGAACCCTCGCTGCGAGTACGAGCTAGTTCGATTGCGGTGAAGGTGGTAGAGTTACAGAAATGAAGTAAAGTGAATTTCTTGGAATCAGCGGTGATACGACAAAACACACGGCAATACGTTGTTCACATTTTATTAGCTAACACTTCAACAGCTTTGTTTGACATTAATTCGTGCTTTTTTATCCTTAATTTAGGTTAATTATAAATAAGTTCCTCGCTGTTAATTTTATTCGAGAATGTGATTTTTTTTTCGATTGTCCGGACACGATTGTTGCACAGAAGATACTCGTCCAGGGTGAAACGTACGGCGCGTTGTTCGACTAATTGTCGTCGTCCTCGAGTAAGACTCGGAAACTGGTCAAGTAGGAGAAGGCAGTCGTGACATACTAGAAATTATTGAAAACATTGTATACAAATGTTTCCTATTTTCTTTTTCTTATATTTTATAGAGGATGTCCCAGATCACTTTCACAAACTCTCGTGAGGCTGTAGAGCGGATTGAGATGAACACAAAAGTCCTATATCTTTCTGCGATACTCGCAATAATAGTTGTGAAATTAATTGTGAAAGATTAAAAGGAAAAACGCGCGCTGAATGGTCGGAAGAGGTCGCGAAACCAGTAATATAGCACGCGGATGTCAACGCGCGGTGATTGGAAAAACAACGCATCACTGCCGATGCTTATATCGCTACACTCCTACATCTCGCCTTGGCGCGATGCGGCAAGACGTAGGATCGCAATGATATAAGCACAGACAGTGGCGCGTTGATTTACCATTCGCCGCGCGTTGACATCCGCCTGCTATATTACTGGGACGTGAGTACTCCTCCTTCAACCAATCACTTCGACGTGCGTTTTTCCTTAATCTTTTACAATTAATTTCTCGGTTATCATTGAGAACATCGCAAAACGGTGTGGGACTTTTGTGTTCATTTCAATCCACTTTACGTTCTCACGAGAAATTGTGAAGGTAATCTGGGACACCCTGTATATGAGTGATCATATAAGTGATGTGTCGTATAAAATGTGTCGTATCGTATTCATAGACATAGACTTGGTTTATATCGTGCACTTAATACGCGTATTAAATAGTAACTTTCTATCAGATAATCTTAATATCGACAATGCATATCAACGACGACGCAGTCAATCATTACAATACGTTTTGTTGATGAGTATTATACTAAGATGAGTATTATATTAAGATTATCTAATAGAAATTTACTATTTAGTACGCGTATCAAGTACACGATGTAAACCAGGGCATAGTAAGAATAAATCGAGCATTCGATTTTTTTTTAAGAGTGGGGGTAGAAGAAGAGTTTTGAAGAGAAATAGAGCACACGTAGAAAAGGACAGACGACAACGACTGTATCTCCTTCTCTCTCTGTGCGCCAACGCAGTAAGATAAATCACGTCTATTAGTCACATACACAGACTTGAAACTATCCCCACCTTCTCTCATTAGAAAGAGACGAGGATACAGTCGTTGTCTTCTCTCTCGTTCTACGTTGACATTATGTCTTGGACCTAACACTCAGTCTATTCTTACTATGTCTATGATCGTATTAGAGAACACGTATCCCTATGAAACGTAACCAATTAAGACGTAAGTGACTGAGTAACTTATCTATAAGGCCCGATCTACAATAGATGGAGTAAGGAGTAGGAGTAGGAGTAAGACGAAATAGAAATAATTGATTTCGCTTACTCCCTTATTCCAATAATGCGTTGTCTACAATGGCAGTAGGAGTAGGAGTAAGACGAAATAGAAATAATTGATTTCGCTTACTCCCTTATTCCAATAATGCGTTGTCTACAATGGCAGTAGGAGTAGGAGTAAGAAATGAGCAGTAAGCAAATTGACCAATTCCATTCTCACGATTCAAGAATAATCGATTATGATTGGTCCATTTACTTACTACTTATTTATCACCACTACTCCTACTGCCATTGTAGACGACGCATAAAAGTTTTCCCGTCTACATCACATGGAGTAAGCCTGAATTAAGTAGTAAGAACTGGAGTAAGGGAGTAAGCGAAATAAATTATTTCCATTTCGTCTTACTCCTACTCGTACTCCTTACTCCATCTATTGTAGATCGGGTCTTACACATTCCAAAATAATAAAAATAAAAAATTGATAGAAACAAACGATAATACCAAACCGATAAGTATAATAACACTGCAAGAGTGTATTTTCTTCTCTTTTCCTTTTTTTTAGCATAGAATGGATTGCGAAAGTAACTCAATCGACAAAATTAACGGTAAGATCAGGGACTCACAGATGCGTAGTAATTTAACGAAACGGTCGGAAGCATGCAGGGTACGTGTACAGTTACTGGACGTTGGCCGCGCAACAAAGTGTATACGAAATTCTTCTGCAAGGCGACCTCTCTGTTATACCACATCGAGTCATACGCAGCGTGCGTAATATTCATGCTCTAAAATGTCAATTTCGGAATTGCACCGAAGTTCTGTTGTCACGTTCGCGCATTTCGCGTTCCACATTTGTTACACAAGCGTAACTTACCGCGCTTAACAAATGATCGGCCGGCCATGCGCACAAATACACTTTCGCAAGGGACGAAATGAAGAAGATCAAGAATGTCGATTTCACAGCCATCGGTTGTCGCTATCGGAAACATTTACAACGTACAATTTAAATCTGCGGCATGTTGTGTTATCACCAAAAGACACAGACGTGTTCTCGAAATCGACGTGAGTCTACACGATGCGTATGAGGGTGATTTCCGGATGGAATGTTGGCATGAAAGAGACTTGCGTTAAAACAAGGTGTAGAGATCGCGAAAATGTTTGGTGCTTAAAGGAACAAAACTTTTAAAAACATACATTCCTTTCTCTGTTAAATATTATTCTTGTATTTAGGTCTCTTGTTATATGATATCAAGTGTTATACTCACGCTGAGGAAAGTGCAACCGGTAAAAATGATCACTATCGTGCTGACAGTTAAAGACGCTAGCATTACGTAACGAATAGAGAGAGACACTTTCTTCCCATACCTAAAAATGTTTTTTTTTCTAAACTAAAGCCTAGTGATCACATTATTAAAATGAAAATTACAAAAGGAATTGTTTAAGTCTCAAGTATCAGTGTGGAAACCAAAGAACGTTAAGATCTAATCTATGCAAAATTTATAATATTACTACGCTTCGAGGAGCAATGAAAATTATTTTGATATCAAAAGTAGTAATGAGCACAAGAGAGAGAACGATTAAGTCTTTGATCTCGAGCTTTCTCGTCGTCACATTATGTGAAACGTCGCTCGAACGATTCAACTTTGAACAGACTTTACGACAGACTTTTAAATAGAAACTGGTTACTCACCCCAATAATTCTTGATGTTCCACCACACACGCGCGCAGCTCTTCGAATTTCGTGACTGCCCGAAATCGCTCGGACAGTATGTCGCACCTCGCCGAGACAAACCACAAGAGAAGCGCGACGAAGATGTTAGAGCACACCTGCGTGTAGCTCTGATATATGACTAATATGTGGTGCAAATAAATGATGGTTTTCAAAGGTTGATAGTCCACGTTGAACGGGTACTCGACGTCCATAGGGAACGGATGGGGTTCAACCAGGGGGCTGATGGTGAGCAGCAGAGCGGTAACGGTGAAGGCACAAATCGAGCACACGTAAACCGATTTGCAGTTGTCGATGTAACGGTGAAAGACCTCCCTCTCCTTTGGTTTCGCCCGCTTGCAATAATCCTCCAATTCGTAAATCACATACTGCAATTGAATCGCCATTGTCGATTAAGCGAAAACGGGTCCGTGGTGTAAGAACTTAAATGGATAATCGTTCATATCACAGGCCGGTTGTTAATAATGTGATTGCAATCTAACACATTGTTGATCAATCGTAAGGATGCAACTTATATTTCGCTAGTCGAATATTGTTGGAAGGAAATAACTGTTTAAAGGGGAACTATTTAAACTTTACAGAACAATTGATAAAGATCCGATTTGAAATTAAACACAATATGAATCGAATTAAATATAAATCAAATTAGCAATATCAATTTGATTTATATTAAATATAAATTATAAGTAGCAAATTAGCAAATATCAAATTATTAATATAAATTAATGCTGCAATTTTAAATAGAATCGTAAGACTTTCGTAACTTGCTTTCGTAAAATTCGTAAGAACTTATAAATAGATCTACAATTCTATGCGTATTCTATATTGTACGATTATTTATAAATATCGTAAATTAATCGTGAAATTGTACATATTTACAAATAATCGTACGATACATAGTACGTATAGAATCGTAAATTTACTCATAAGTTCTTACGAATTTTGCGAGAGCAAGTTATGAATTTTATGATTCTATTTAGAATTGCAGCATAATTTTAAATTTCATACAATTAAATAAGGTATAGCAGGATAAATTGAGTAGCGGGGGAATTTGGATAATATTAAGCGTTTGCGACAATTTCAGAAAAATATAATATATAGGATAAAAATATGAATATATAGAATACTAATCTCAAACATAAAACAAGGCGTCTCGTATTTTTCTGAAATTGTCGCAAACGCTTAATATTATCCAAATCCCCCCGCTATTCAATTTATCACGTACCCTATAAATCAAATAACTCACTTTTACTTAAACGCCTGCATTTTAAGAAAAAAAAGACAGTCGAATAATCATGACAACGCTGAAAACAAAATAATATGTTAATTCCCTCAAACAAATTCCAATAACTCTAGCTAAAATAAATGTCAATAGTTTACAATAAATATTCAAGGGATACAATCAAGGAGTATACAAAACGACGTGTATCGTCACTCAGAGAATCGTGCAACTTTTGGTACGTCGCATTCTCTCACGCTTGGATGCATAATAATCCTTAAAAATGACGAGTTAACACGCATGCGGCATGTGCTTACACATAACAAAGCTAAAGACAAAACCATGAAATAATTACACATCTAAGAGCGCGAAATTTACGCAATGTCATTAATCGTTTAAATTTTAATTCGCATGAAAATCCTCTAAAGATTGATTAACTCTTTAAGTATCACTGATATCAATAGAGACCACTTAGGATCGGGCAGTTGAAACTTTATAAATGTGCTATTTAGAGTGTTTCGACAATATTTCATTAAAAAAAGTTACTAGAATGTTCCATGAATTATGCGCCTTAAAGGGTTAATCTAATTGAGTTGCTGCAATTGAGAATTTCGATAATAACGAAGCGCACGAAGTCAGTTCCGTTGTCGTGAGAGAACGAATAGCAACAGATATCATTTTATCTCCGTTATATTCGATCTGACACGATAACCAAGACGACACTGTTCGCACGCCGATCGCTTACTTGCAGTCGATCATACTGTATCGCGTAGCAAACGATCTGCAACGGGACCTCGACGGTAGTGCACAACTCGCAGCACAGTTTCATTACCAGAAACACGTTCGTGCGATTGCTGTAGATCGTGTGCACCATCACGACCACCATGACCATGCCGTGCAGCACGGACAGCCAGCGGAATATTTTGTTGCGTATTCTTTGGCATGTCGTGGCGGTCGGCCGTAACGGCCAGCAACAAGCGAACAACAGATCCGCCTTCAAAAACGCAATGAGCTTCTCTAAGGTTCGCGTATCCGCCATGAGAACAATCGTTGAAACTTCCCTCTTGGTGTTCGTTAACGATTTACGCGCGTATCGCACGCGACTCGCCTGAGCTTTCGTGAGGGAGAAAGAGACGAGGCGGCGAACGCATAGCACGACGAACGCGTATTTAATTTACCACCCTCGCGCTCAACGCACGGAAGAAACGTGCGAATTTCTCAAGCCCGCAACTCCTCGCGGCTATACATTACATAATGGCTATACAGCCATTTACAGCTGCACGCCGGAATTACAGGTCGCAACAAAAGCGTATGAGTTATTCAATCAACACATGATGTATCAAGATTCCTTTCCCGCAATGATACATTCGTCTTCTTATTTCCCCGCCAGCGTGATAAGCGGAATTACCGCAGTTATTACCGCGTTATTAATACATGGGGGTGATATATAGCAGTAACAAGGAAACGTATGGAAATAACGTAAATAACACCATAGTCAGTATAAATAATATGAGCGCAAAACAATGCTAGTACGGTCGATCGAATTTTTTAAGTTGTGCATCTAATGCGATCCAATTTTCGTCGCATCCAGTTGCATTTGCACGTAATTACGGCCAAGTCTTTCTTGCGTTGCTTTTGAACAACTGAAATGTTAACTATAAGGTGAATATTAATGACTGTAGTTATAAGATATATCAGTGACAAGCATTTATTTCCATGCAAATTGCGTTACACAAATGAGATTACCTTAGTTTTGAAAACTTCATGGTGAACGAAATGAACGCGTGTTTAAATACATCATTCGCGTATATCGTATTAGGCACCTTATGTATTATTTTACTGGCAAAATAATTTTAGAGTTATGGTGAAGTATGTATCTTATGTTATGAAAAATAATTTTTCCTCAACTGAAACCTTGTGTGATTACATTATTAAGATTAAAATTACGCAAGGAATTCTTTGAGTCTCAAGTTAATTTATTCGTTGCGTTTGCGTAGGGAAATTTTAATTTACGATAAATAAGACTGAAAGGAAAAATGATCAAGTTAGAGAAATAACAAATGTGATTAAATTATATGGAATTGTTTTACTCATACTCTATTGCTATACAGAGTTGACGCGATTCTACACACTTATTAGTTGCGTGGTCGGAAAAAACCCCGAAGAAAAAAGCAGCCCTTCGTATTATCTCACCTTATCTTCAGAAAGAATTATTCGAAAGGTCGTCAGGAATGAAAACGCCGTCGAGATGTACTGCAAAATTATTTCAAATAACACGGGAAAACATGTAAAACATGCAAAGTATCATATGTGCGAAGTACATGATCTTTCAAGAATAAAGTTTATTCGCTTAAGGAGGTATTCGGAAGCCACAAGAAGAATGCGAAAGTACTGTTTATTTTGATGATTCTATCGCGTCAATCCCAAACGTTTTTTATTACATTTATTACATTTCTCATATTGCAGAGAATGTACACAAATAAACTTGTCTTAGATAGTGTTCCTTGCAGCTTGTCCAAAGACTCTCCTGTGCTACAATGTGCGAAATAATTCACAAAAAAGAACGGAACACTTGATTGATGAAAAGAATGTGTTCGATGCGATCGCTTACAGAGGAATAATGTTCGAAACTTAAAGCCGTCAGTAAACCGGGAACAGTTATAATCACAGGCCGCTGACTCCGCAATAAAGTGTACAGCATGATCCTTTGGGAAGGAATTCCGTGCTCATACCACAGAGATTTGTACGCGGCGTTGCCGATGTCGGAGCTCTAAAATATTTTCAGAAGTCTCCAAATTGTGCGGCACAATAGGATTGGTTGATACCACTCGTATCATGAGACTCACTATGCTCATCAAGTGATCAGCCGGCCAAGCGCACAGAAATACCTTCACCATTGACGAAATGCACACGATGGCAAACTCTGCTTTCACGGACAATGGTAGCCGCTATTTGAAAGAAAAAAAGAAAGAATTGCGGTGACGAATGATTCATTTGGATATTCTGTCATGGCGTTTGTCAAAATAAGAGGATCAAGCAGTCTCTTAAACCGATAAAATCGATAAGTTCGACACAAGCGTGACTCCGAAATTAACATTATTACTTAACAATACTTAACAGTATTACTTAACAATACTGAGGAATAAGCCGAATATATTTCGTTGTTTAAAAGTATTATGTGTATACACACGCTGAGAATGGTGACACCGCCGAATACTAACGTGAAGGTGCTAATACTGAGCGACGAGAGCACTACATACGTAATGGACAAACTCATTTCTTGGGCAAATCTGTAACGATACATCGTAGCGCGCTGTATGATCTGGTGAAATCAATTCTGCAATTAAATATATACAAAGAGGAGACAGCACATGGAAACATCTCGTAAATCTCGTAAATCTTGTCGTATTTTTCGACTTTACCCACCAACAATTATTTTCACTTAAAATGTCCGTTGAATACCCGCAGACAAAATTTTGATCGTTATGCGAGAAGCATAATGATGACATAAATAAACACTGAATGCAAAGTCAGTCGAATTCAGTAAAAAAATTCTTACGCGATTAAATCTTGAGTACTTACGACTATCACAAGCTGACATTGATATTAACTATTGACGGATACTCTATGGTAATTAACAACATACCTAAGAAGCTCCTGATGTTCCCTCACGCATATTTGCCAGTCGAAGTATTTGCTAGCCTTGCGGAACTTAATGGATAGAATTTCGAAGCGCGCTGACGTGAACCACAGTAGAAGAGCAAGGAAAGCATTGCCGGTCGCTTGACAATAAACCTGATACAACCCGAAAGTCTGGTGGAGGTACACGATCGCCCACAACAGCCGCTGGTCGACGACGAACGGATACTTTATCACGAGAGGATACGAGTCGATACCACGAAAAAGCGGCTCCACAATTGAGCCGACGAACGCGATACTCATTATGCTTAACGTCACCATGTAATAGCGCGTGCATTTATTGACGTACCTTTGAAACACGTCTCTCTCATACGGCTTCGCTTGTCGATAGTAATCTTCCATCTGTGTGATCACACTCTGCAAAAACACAAGATTTGATTTCGAGATCGCGCCGATCCCTTCGATCCCGACTGAACCTTATTTAAACGCCAACATTGTCCATTGGAAACAATATTCTCGGCGTCGATTTCAGATATTGCTATTCAATTGATTTTGTTGGGTCATCAACGAGAGAAAAGCGTTTTCGATTTTCGACAAGACTAAATAACTAACTAAATATTACATCAGTTTTGTGTCGAATTTAAATTATTACTAGATCATTATTCAACTCTCTTGTTATCATTAGAAGGAAATAGTATTTGGATTTGTAACACGACTGATTTTCTGATTTCTAGAAAGCGTTGCAAGAGTTTGCCTTTTAGGGCCGGTTTTTCAAAGCAGTTTAAACTTGGATTCAAGTTTAAACTCTATTCTAACAATGCGTTTGTTTTATTTAAACAGAGTTGAAGTTGAAATCTAAGTTTAAACTATCATTGAAAAACCGACCCTTAGACTTCTATTAAACATGGAACGTTCGAGTGACAGCTCACGATTTTTCAACGAATAAAGCGAGATTGTAATAACAAGTATAATCGAAATTAAAGTAATAATAATGAAAAAATATATCCAGCTCAGCGGATGATTCCACTTGGTGACTTACTTGCAAACGGTCGTGCTGCAGAGAGAACAGCAAGATTTGCAGCGGCACCTCGAACATGATACCCATCGCGCAGGTCGACTGCATGAACATACGCACGTTCTCGACGTGGTAAATAATCGTGTAGGCCAATTCGGCGACCAGCAGCATCGCGTGCAAACCGGACAGCAGACGAAACAATTTGTCACTCAGAATCTGGTAGTTGGTTGCGCTCCGAGGCATCGGCCAACAACAGGCGAACTTCAGACCCAACCTCAGGAACATGATAATCTTCTCCAACGTTAACCCTTTCATGTCGGTCGAGCTCGCCTCTCCCGTGGCGGACAGATATGTCCGCATTGAACTCCTATGGAAGCCGGGAGTATCGTCTCTTCCGCTGCGTTCTCGCAATTCCGCGAAGAACGTTCTCGCTCGTCATAAATGAAGAAAACTCGAGAGGCGAGGATTCACTCGATTTCATTCTTAACGCTTCTCCTCCCGTCCTTCCGCCAACAACGCGGAATACCCCGCGTATATTATGTAGCATTTAGCGATGATTATTACTCACCCTTATTTTCCTCTCTTTCCTCTCTTTGTGCGCGAGCGTGCGGATTAATAAGTTATAACACTGGCAAGAATTACGCGCGAGTGTGCGCCGCTACAATGTTCTATAACGGCTCCTTTCTTTCTTCCTTCCTTCCTTCTTGGGATTATTATTGCGATATGCGCTGCTTCGAAATAATATCGCGGTAGCAACACGCGGACTTGCAATGTTAAGGGTTTTATTAAACGTAATACCTCGATGTGCTTATATTAGATCTTACATCCGACTTACAATCGTTTATACTTGGCAGGAGGGAACGACACCTTCAAACGCGTGTGCGTTCCTTCGAGATGTGCTATCATAGAATAGAATCGCGATTTTTATTACATGTAATTTACGCTTCGTATGCGTTTACGTTATCCTTTGCATAGTCTTCAGGCGAGGAGAAAGTTTTTTTTTATTTGAGAACCTTTGAATTATTTTTTAATTACCTTTTTGTCAATTTTTTCCATTTCCTTCAGATTACAATCACGTTAGAAGGAGATTTAGAAAAGGCGTAAACTCTTGAATATCAGCAGAAATCTACAGTTGCAAGTAAATTTTCGCTTACAGTTGGATTTACGACAATTAACCAATATTAATCGAACTCGGAAAAGCTCGAGAAATACCGCGGCTGTCACTAAAAAATATAAACAACCGAGCTTTGGGTTCACTTAAGATCGTTCTATTTACTTGACCATAATTTCCGTATTGACCTTTTATTTCAATTAAATCTGCATTTGTTTCGTATAATAATTAATAATTGCTCCAAGTGATACTTTAAGTAGGAATATCTCCTAACTTCTCGCTGTATGCAGTGTTGCAAATGCGTTAAATGCGATCGCCCAATATCGTTCGCAGCGTCACAAAATAGGAAAACCCTGCGGAAACAACCTAAAAATCCAAATAATGATGTAAGAAAGCGCTTTAACAGAATATAATAGAACGTATGCAGAGAGTGTCTCACTCATGTATTTCATAAAAGAAGTCGCATATTTTACATAAAATGTCTTTTACAAAGCCTTGTGATATCTCAATTAATATTAAAAATGTTTACTTGACTGTTAATAACTTTTCAATTTAGTTTTTTATGTGGAGTATAAGATTTTTCTCATGATATACATGAGTGAAATACTCTATACACATAGAAGGGAAATGTGAGCATCGAAATGTTCTAAATCATCGAATCTAAGTTACGTGCAAAAGAGGAAAGTATATCGTTCCTTGTTGCATACACCGAACAGTGCATAGTATTACAGTTTACAGTTTATAAATTAGTGTATTAAGTTTTTAAAAATTAGTGTGTTAAATTTTTATGTATTATGTTTAGTGTATTAAAAATTAGTGTATTAAATTAGTGTATTAAACTTTTGTATTAAGTATTACAGTTTATAAATTAGTACCTGAACAGTGATAATAAAGAGTTGACGTAAAATGGCAAAAGGATACAATAGTGGTACAATGGCATTTTAGGGTACAATAATGTAGAGATTAATAAATGTCTATGCAAACTATTACAATAGATCATAAGAAAGTGTTAGTGTAATTTTTTTATTGATATTTGAAGTTAATTTTGAGTTAATTTGAAGTTAATTTGAAGTTTATTGATATTTGAGATTGTTTTTGAAAACATTGGTCTAATATATTCTTTTTACACATCATATAGGTAACGTACTTGACAACCTTATGGAATAAACGTGAATTAAGATCAATGATTTCTCGCGCGCGTGATTACTATACAGAGCACAAAATATATTTTTTATATGCAAAAGATACTTTTTATATAAAATTAATAATCTTTCTAGTATATACAGTTCACAGAGTCCCGAGCAGCTTAGAGAAAATATAGAGTGTAGAAATCGTCAGAACTATTGCTTGGCAACGATTTTGACGCATGCACGCAGAGGATGATTGTCTCATGTACACCTTTCTCTTTCGCAAGCAACTTGGACACATTTTCGCTCCACAAGAGACAAAGGTATTCCTCTCCCATGTATATCTATTTTAAGGGAATGTCAAAATGCTCGACAAGATGAGTATACGCTTACATTCCCGAAAAAGTTGACGCAGATCGCAGGTATAACGGAAGTGACTTTAACATTAACCGATTTCTGACACCTTTGTATAATCATGCAAACAGTTCGACGTACGCTCGACGTCGCATATATCCACGGAGAATCGTAGATTCGCCAAGAAATTTCATAAGCCTGTAACAAGAATTAAAATAAGAGAAAAGACAAAATCGCGATATGCTGTTTTTTTTATCGAATATCAAAATGTATCTGTTTAATTGGTGTGATTGTCGTTAAAAGATAATTAGAGAACTAACCATGTCGGTCATTACTTCCGCTACCCAGCAGATGATATAGAGTCTTAAAAGGGATAACAGGATGATGGAAACGAACTGAATTAACTCCCACATAGGCACATTCTGTGGAATGTACACAGGATTAAATATAACGGTAAAGCTTAGTGTCTCTGCATCTGTGTAAGGTACTATGTGTCTGTATAAACAAATTCCACATGACTCGTTAACACTTAGTAAACTTGCACAAACGCAACAGAAATTGTAGAATTTAACGAGAATATCAACGCGACCATCGTTTAGATACAAATGAGGTGCGAAAGAAATGCGGAATACAGATTGCAATAACGAAGATCGAAAGAGAGATAGTTTTGAAACGATTGAAAAGATTAAAGAAGTGGCACTAACCGTTGCTTCTTTACTTATTTTGTTTTTTTTTCTTTTTTTAGTGTCATTACTCGTGTTAAACGTAATTTATACTCACACGTAAGATCAGCAAACTCGAGGTTATCGTGTTGATGAAAGCGATTGTCGTCGATTTGATGATCAAAAAGCTGGCGACGCTTCCGCTCTCTTGTGCGTAGCTAAATTGAAATATCACAGAATAACGTAGCCGTAAGCACAATAATTTTCACCGATTACTATTACTACTATTATAATAAGAATATAATATAATATTCGAGATGGCGTCTCAACGTACTCGAGTGCATTCTGATGAGCGTCGATGGCAGCTCGCAGCTCAGCGACGGAGAACATAGAATGCATTTTCATACCTAGCATACGGAATTTGAAGGTGGCGTTCCACAGTACAGTAAATATCATTACATCGACCTGCACCACCTTGGAGGCTTGCACGATGGTGCAGGCGTTCTGCACGTAAACAAGGTACCAAGCCCAGGTTTCCGACATGGGCAAAGGAAAAATAGCGTTGAGGGGAAAGTTTCTGAGCTTTCTCTGCGACAATATCAACGGTGCAAGTATGTACGATCCTCCACAAACAAAGTATGATGTTATCATGCCGCTATAAATTATACGCAAGTAGAATCTGTATTTTTGTCTCAGGATCTCCTCATATGGCGAGCTGCGCTTGCCGTCGGCACATTCTAACTCGTCTAACAGCATCTGCAAAAATGGTTATCGTTTCACGTCGCATTTTGTCTAGCAAACGCAAATAAACTCGACAAATGAGGAACATAAGACTTTTAAGTAATAAGTGAAAATTAAAAATTGAGCGTGAGTTACGCAATAAAAAATAGTGATTGCAAATATTGGTATTACAAATCAAGTAATGGAATAAATGCTCCTAAATTGAAACATATTTAAATTGTATCTTAAGGCTTCTTATATATAATATCTAAATTTTGAAAGGAATAATGCCATTAAGAGCCGATGCTAAATGTTTTTTGCAAATGTTTATAATGGGGAGGATAATAATGTTTATAGTGTCAAATGCACGCGCCGAAATATTATCCGATCTTTACAACGTACACGATGAATCAATCTTTTCCACTAACAAACTGACCCTAGATTCCCTAATATTTTTCTATAATTATTATAATTATTACACCCTCTTTATTTTAATGTTTATCCCACGCGCATTGAGTTGCGAAAAAACTGCCTCTCAGACTGGATTCGAACCTGAAACCTCCCCACTATCCGAGCAAGACGCCTTTACCTATTGGGCTACCAAGGCTTCGACAGTAAAATAGAATCAATGCGCATGGGAGAAACATTAAAATAAAGGAGATTTAATAATTATAATAATTATAGAAAAATATTAGGGGATCTAGAGTCGGTTTATTAGTAGAAAAGATTAATTCATCGTGTACGTTGTAAAGACCGGATAATATTTCGGCGCGTGCATTTGATACAAACATTATTATCCTCCCCATTATAAACATTTGCAAAAAACATCCAGCATCGGCTCTTAATGATTATTCATACATTATATATACATTATTCATACATTCATACATTATATATACATTATTCCTTTCAAAATTTAGATATTTAAACTGTGTGATATTTTTTTTTGATAATGAAAAAATAAAATTCAAAATCCAAGAATTTAGTTGAACGAGGGAAGAGATTCGTGGATTTAAAAATCTGAAGAATATGTTGGTTTTTCGTCTTGATAGTAATAAATCGCTCAGTTTGTCTCTGCCCTTTATAACAACGTCTATATTTTAAGACACGAATTGGCAATTAAATCGTGCAAGATACTCACCCGAAGTCGTTTCTCCTGCGCCACACAATAGACAATGGTACTAATCATCTCGAGAACGTACATCAGCTCCACTATGGCTTTCATCATGTTGCCGAAGTCGTTTCGATAATACATTATGCCCTTGATGAGCGCGGGTATTAGGCAGAAATCATTCACCAAGTTGATCAACAACAGTGCTTTGTAAAAGATAACTAGGAGTCTGCTAACTCCGTCTTCCAACGGCCAGACTCTAGTCAGTATTCCGCAAACGCGTAACGCACGTAACAACTTGTCGTTTTTTATGAAGATACTCATGTTTTCAGTACGTTCTTGTGTGTGCACGATCTATATCTCTTCAGCTTCCAAGCGAATTCTAGCTCTATCTAATTACTTTTACTAATTACCATTACGAGCACAGCTACGTAAATTTACGCAGCAGCATGCGCAAATACACGATTCTGACGTAGTCCACTGACGACGAGCTAATCGCCCGTACTTTATATTCATAGATTACATCGAGCAATTAGACAATCAGAAACGCCGCTTAATAAGACGGTTGCCTTTAACGAGTGTGAGAAACTAGGCATTAACTTCATTAATGGACGAAGTCGTTAAGTTCTCTTCGCGGGACATTAATTCTATCATAATATGTTTCGCTGAAAAGTAACATCAACTTAATTTTTCGTCTCAAATACTTCTCAATTCTTTCGTAGTCGAATTTCACTTTTCGAAAGAGAAGATTATATGTGTAACAATGTGTAATAATGTGGAAAAACAAATTTACATTAGTTCTCTCATTAAGAATATATATATACAGGGTGTCCCGCCACTACCGCATTATCTCTTAAGGACTTCCTTCAATCAATACAAAAGTCGCGATAATATGCGAATAATCGCGAGTATTATTTTTAATACGACACACATATATACAGAGTGTCCCGCCATTACCGCATTATCTCTTAAGAACGGATTCCTGAGATAACTTGAAGAAAAAAATTCTAATGCAAAAATGTCGAGGCTATAATACTTTCTAAATTATAAACGATTAAAGTTGACCAATTATACTGGCTAAAGTACGCGCGCTCAGGTACGGTACAACACACAATGATACAGGTGCATGTACATGTCGTCCCTTTTCCAAATATTGATACGGAAGTTCCATACATACAATAACGTATGTAATAATAATTTGCCTTTTCTATCATTTAAATAAACATCGCAAATAATAACAATTTCGTCGAAATGTTATGAATAAAATATCACACAATACACTTATGAGAATCAATAAGCTGTCACACATTTGACGTTTCTTTCAGAAATTTGCAACTAATTTTATATCTTATGCAAATTCTCACTTATGTGCATGCACCTGTACTATTGTGTATTATACCGTACCTGAGCGCGCGTACTTTAGCCAATATAATTGATCAACTTTAATTATTTAATAATTTAAAAAGTATTATAGCCTCGACATTTTTGCATTAGGATTTTTTTCTTTAAATTATCTCAGGAATCCGTTCTTAAGAGATAATGCGGTAATGGCGGGACACTCTGTATATATGTGTGTCGTATTAAAAATAATACTCGCGATTATTCGCATATTATCGCAACTTTTGTATTGATTGAAGAAAGTGGTCTTGAATTAACACAAAGAATATTAGTCGAGAAAATAGAAAAAAGCTCTAGTCGTTTATTTCGCGCACATTTTCGCTCGTAAACTTAGTTACTTAATTGGTATGACAAAGAATTAAAACATGATGAAACACATACACAAATTGTAATTCCGATAATCGTTAGAGTCTGTTTCATTGTCAACTTCTACTTTTACGTATTCATAGATGTAATCGAAATATGTACAACACGTGTCGCACCATTAGCCGTCTTCGCGTGGGATTGACGCGGATTTAGAATTGATCATATTTGCAAGCCATCCTCGGCAAATATTGCTCGGAAGGTTGTCAGGTAAGAGAATGTAGTTGACAAGTACTGCAAGTACACAAATACAATTTCATTCATCTGAATAATGTTCCGTGAACTCTAATTGAAATTTGGTCCGAACGCTAAGATCAGCCGAATCATATTAGCGACAGTATCAGGTAACTTACGGAGGCGTAGTAATTGAGCGAAAGAGCCGGTAGCATGCACGGAACGGACAGGATCACAGGCTTATGGCTTCGCAACACGACATACAGCAGACTCTTCCGTAGAGATATTTTCTCGTTGTACCACAACGAATCATACGCAGCGTGGGCGATGTTACTACTCTGAAGCATCGAGGTGTAAAGATGCATTTCGATATACTGCACTGAAGGGTATCTCAATACACATATTAGGACCTTAACTTAGTTTCCGCCCGTAAATGTTAGATGGCAATGCAAACAGTTCTAGTAGTCATTACTAACGAAACAGGTAGTTTGTGATTAATTTCGACATTTCTCGATAACATTCAGTCAGCATACACAATTATTTTCCTAAACAACAATTTCTTTTGCTTTGTGAAAAATGGAACGCGATAAAGTGTTTTTTCGACATGTGCTTTTGCACT